GGCTTTCGGCATGGCTGGTCTGAGTGCTGGGTCTGCCATGGCACCCCATTTCGTGTCGCATTCCGTGTAGTGGGGGTCCTGTATCCCCGCTACATCACTCAGGGTGTCAGGTAGAATTTCCTTAACCAGGTCATCTGATGCTGAGGAGGAAGACAGGAAGGCTGGGACAGCAATTTGGGTAGCCGTGCGGACACCCAAGCCACCGAGCCTAACAGGAAGAGTAGCTTGTTTCCACTGGCATTCGTTGAGGGAGAGGTTAACAACTTTTTCCAGCATGGTCTTCAGTAAGAGGTCATACTCTTCAAGCTTTCGGCTGTCGTAAGATGGGGCGCACCTCAGAAAGTAGGTTAGCCTCGGAAGGGATAGGCATTTAGTGAGGAGATAAAAAGCATCGTGGGCATCGATGTCACCTATTCTGTCGTCCATCCTCCTAAGGTCTGCGATTTTCTTGTCAAGGATCTCCTCAATGGCGTTAGACCCGAGGGGGGCTCCAAGGAGGGTGCTGTTCTCGGCCCTAATGACATGGGCTCCAGGCAAGGCAGACCTTATTCTTGCTACGATGTCTGGGTTGGAAGAGACTACTTCACACTTGGAAGGGTTCAGGACAAGACCCAGGCTTACTTCTTGCTCCCTTATTTTCCTGATATCTGCCAAGAGGTGGTCTATGGTGCCAGCTATAGTGCCATCATCCAAAAACCAGATGTTGAACTCGCTGGACAAGCTTTCGGTGATTTCTTTTAAGACTAAGCAGAAAAGAAGGGGAGCAAGAGGATCACCTTGCTGAACACCTTCACATGATCTGATTTCATGTTCACCAAAGAGCAGTTTGGACTCACCACTGTAGCACGATAGTATGAACGGGTAGAGGGGCCGGAAATGGCGATGCACGGCACAAAGTACTGCATCTCTTCTGACCATGTTGAAGGCATTCTTAAAGTCCAGTTTGAGCAGGGCCTTTTCATCAGAAATGTTGGTGATGTATGCTCGTGCTGCATGGGCAGCCGCTTCACAGCCTTGGGGGATTCCAAATCCTAGCTGGATTGGTTTCAGCAATAGCAGCAATTTCTATATAGTATGTATATAAAAACTCGCTCGCAGCGAATGGAACGTTGTATGAAAATTTTAAAGCAAACGGTGAAGATCTTTTGGAGATTTGTGATTTTGAACAAGCGAATATTTACATTTTTATTTATAAAGATTGTGTGATATTTTATTGGAATTGAGCTTTTTTGTTTACCTTATCATTCATTTCGTAGGCATATTTTTTTATTTCGTTTTTTTTAACTGTTTTTCTTATGATCAAATCCACAAGGGCCATGAAAAGGATTCGAACCTGCGCCAAAGAGCATCCCTTAATCGACGCTGCCTTAATCGACTAATCGACTGATCCCAGCATCTGGGATGCTCTTGGGCGCGGGTTCGAATCCGTGACGCAACCTGTCCTCTTAAAAAGAACGTCGTTTTTGGCCGTTTGCCCGTACGGCCGAATATGGACGTAATTTGAAAATGAAAAAAAATGAAAATATATTTGGGAATTTTTTTTCAACAATAGTAAGTTAAGGGTCCTCTGATAGGTTAGATGGGCAGGAAATTCTCAAAGTTTCAAAACGTTATGAAAAACGTTAATGGAAAGAATCCTCTTCTAAGCTTGCCGAGTAAGCCGGACGACTCAAACAGAAGACGGAACAGTACGTCACTTTTGTGAGTCGATTTCATTTCAAATTACGTCCAAATTTGGCCATAGCGCGCATACGAGCGAAAAGTGACGTTATTTTTAAGAGGACGGTTTGCATCATGGTCCTTGTGGATTTGTTCATCCCATCCCTGCCCGTGTGTGGCAGTGCACAATAGAAAGTTGTTTTCACATATCCATACATTAAAATATTGATTGTAACCATGATATATATGTGCTTCAGCCTACAGTTTAGACCTATTGTCTTATGTATGACCCTCTGTCCTGGATGACAGTGAATAGCAGCATTATCCTCACTTTAATAAGACTATCAAAATCCTCAGATTAGGCAAAATTGTAATTAATTTTGTCAATAAAGATATTATGAATAAGTTCATTTGATACATCACACCATTATGATTTCTGTGTGTTTTTCCTATATTTCAGTGATGGGAACATCTTTTTGATGTGAAGTGCCTCGCAGATGTCAAGCCGCCTGCTATCGCTGTATGCCCACCGAATGAAGTGAAATCATCGATAGATACAGCGATAGCAGGCGGCTTGACATCTGCGAGGCACTACACATCAAAAAGTCAACTCCAGCAATCAACAGCCAATTAATGCACAACTATATTCTGCCCACTTCAAGACACTGTACCAATAAAAAAGTATCAAGAGGAAGAATGGGCCAATAGGCCCTTTGCAGTTACTTCCATTCTTATGTTCTCATATATCCAATTAATACCTATTGTTCTGCGTTCTGTCTTGTGTTTGTCAAAACTTTGTTCACCTCATCCAAAATTGTTGCAACATATCACCTCACCCAAGTGCGAGTATATAAGACGGATAAGCTGTTAAGTGTTAGCATAAGTAAAACTCTGATTAGTGTTTTAAGGTTACAGTTGTGTGTGTAAACTAAAGTTTTTGAAAATGTAACAAGTTATTATGAAACGTATTCAAGCGTCGCGTCAGACTAAAAATAAAAAAGAATTTTGGAGAATTGATTTCTCAATTACCATCGACAGTAAAATGAAACGTAAAAAATATTGAGAAAATTCGTGTTAGAATTATTAATCTTACTTTCTCGGTCATATTTAACAACATACATACATATACATACACATACATACATATGCAAGGCCCGATTTGCCTATACATATATATATATATATATATATATATATATATATATACATACATATATATATATATAAATATTTGTATATTATGTAAGGTTATACATTTACATAGTTTATTTACAAAAAATGAACATTAAAAGGAAATAAGGGGAAGTTTGTTTCCTAGAGGCTGTAGATTTCTTGGAACTCTTCGGACGCCAGGCAGGAACCGAGGATGCGGCGGGCATTTCCCCTCTGGATCGCGACACTGAGGAGCTGGAGGAGAAAACTTGCCACTCTAGGGTATCATGTAAAGTCAATGAGCCTGGAACCAAGAACCTTAAGAAATCTTATTGCAAAAGCTTGCTCAATGGACTAGGGTCTCGGCTCCTATTGTAACGAAATTGAACCATTGATCTAATTCCCTGTACTTCGTAGACTTGTGTCATTCTCTGAGGCTTCTGCTTGGCTGGCAGAGAGGTTGATGTATGTTGTTGCCAGGAGGGGGGGGGGGATACTCAAGTATAATTCCACGCCATCTGTCTGCCATCCTTCAAAGGGTGCAATGTGATTCCGTCTGGTCGGCCGGCAAAGCTAGCAGAGTTAAGGTTCAATAGGTTGTGGGGCTCCCTCACCGCTGGACACTGGTGTTACGGCCACAATGGGTTGCAACCGAGTTCTTTGCTGGTGGAACTATAGTTCTGGTATCCGGCCCCCAGTTAGTAGTGGCTTTCAAGGAGTGAGCTCGGTAATGCAAGTAAAATACAAATGGGGAGGTGCATTGAATACGACACTTCATCAATTATTAATATATTCACATATAAACACTTTCCCATCACCTCATATAATCCTAAAGGAAGTATTACTACACTTAATATGTACACAAGTGTCTCTCTCTTAGGACACTAAGCGTTCCTCGATGCTCAATCGATGCAGTCTTGTCAGCTACCGTGTTTCCTCAACACACAGTACCGTCCACAACCAGTACTGGGAAACACCAACGAGTCTACCCTGGCCATGGGCCAGCCAAAACACAGTCTCACTAGGTGCTCCTCGTGAACGCCCACAATCACTCTCCAGCCTGGTGCTGGCAGAGAACATCAGCCTCGCGCTGCTGGGCCTCTTCACGTACAAATACAAGGGTAGTGAACCCCTGGCAGGAGCTTCTTGCAACTCGCTGGTTACACTCCTCCGTAGCACCTTAACTGCCAGTCGTCTCTTCCGTTAGCCAGTCCTGGGTACGACGAATTCTGTCACTGCCACTTCACAGGCAGACAGTAGAACACTACACTGTTCTTCTCCGGCGGCGGCTCACTGCTTCCTTAAAGAAGAATGGAGTAGAGCTATTGGCTGCCCTGGGTAGACTGACTGTCCTCGTACCACAGCTGCCCTACGTCGACTCTGTGGATACAGACACGTCATCAGTACACTGGTCAGTACTGGGGACACTAGGAAATATCACTTATGTACTCTGACATAGACATACAACTCCTCCTATAATAGATGGCGCTGATTTTCTAGGCGCCACCTCACCAGAGGTCAGCACCAGCTACCTCTCGAGCTGACTAGGACAGGAATCTAGCGCCTCTTGCTGGTATAATCCTGCCACCCTTAGATGGCATCGTCCATGTTGTGGGGGCTTCGGGAGCGGACTCACAGATGGCATTGGCGTCGCTTCTCCGTGGTCCGACGATGGAGTCGGGTTCGTAACAACTGGGCAAAGGCAAGGCTCCTCCTAATTATGTCATTGACTTCGTCGTGTCTAGAGCGCAAACCGACTGATTTTCCTCAGTGCAGGCAATGCAATCCATAATCGTCTGCATCTCCCTCGAAGCAAATACACTTATGAACAGTGTGGATAGGGGTAGCATGGCGGAGAGCAACTGCAATATGGAGGCTGCTGCGGATCAAGCTGTGTGCCGGTCGCAGACATGGGACTGCCTTTAAGAAGTCAACTGTGTAGGGAGCCTGCACAGCTTTGAGACGTGCACTATATACATATACATATATATTGATATTTGAAGCACACATTTATGGTAATAGTGATACTGTAACAGTAAGCATAGATACATAATTTTGGCGGTATGAATAATTCATAGTGCATTTGATTGTACTATGTTAACATAAATTAAATGCAGTAATCTTCCCTGCTGTAGCTGGAGATGCTGATGACATACTTTTGACAGTAATATGTGAACAAATTGTTTCAGGTTCTTTGTTATCCACACATGAGAGAACGAGGAAGAGGAATTGAAATTACAGCTAGAAATACCAGGTAAGATATTTCATATTGTTCAGTTTATCATTGGGGGTTTAATATTGTTTTGTTTATCATTAGAGATTAGTATTGTTAAGTTTAACATTAGAGTTTAATATTGTTTTGTTTATCATTGGAGATCAGGATTGTTCAGTTTAGCATTAGAGTTTAAAATTGTTCTGAGCATTCTTCTGAAGCTTCGACATCATTTGGAGAGTCCCTGGGAACATTATCACAACATCTAATGATGGAAGCCAAGTGAGGTGCTCTTCCAGATTAATAAACGTAAACTCCTTGGCTCTAATTCAGAGCTTTACACACATTACCTTAAGAAAGGATGCGTGTTACATCCAAAAGTTTGTCTTTTAATACATTTACACATATTTGGTCTTTCATTCTCCTTCGTTAAAAAACTACGACATTGTAGTAAGTTTCTCCGTGTAATATAATTTTATGAAATATTTTGTTAACATAAACTTAAGGTTAGATTTAAATTAATGCATTGAAAAATAAATTAAAGTATATTTATAAGGATCACAGGGAATAAAGATGCAGCCAATGTGATTTTAAATGAAATTTTAATTAAGGTATAATTTTGGGAAAGCAGGAATAAAAACGGAATTAAATAATGGGGAATACGAGAAAAACAATTAATATAGAAAGGTTATCATATGAGGATGGGTCTTTTCTTAGAAAATGAGGGACTGGATCTATGACTTAAAAATATTAAATGCTAGTAATGATTTATGTGAGAACGGAAGAAAGTGATGGGAAAATACCATCACAGAAAAGTTATAGCGAAATTAAATTGCAGCCAAAATATTCCAAAGTTAGAAAAAAATGCCATATGCAGTAGAGAGTAGGAGCACATGACTGACAAAAGTTATAAACTGAATCCTTGACCAATGGAAGTGAAGAATAGCTCATCCACACCAGTTTTTGGAAATCTTGAAAGCAAACTGATTTTTCGAACTTTAGAATATGGGAAAAAGATAAATTTATCAGAGTTCAGAATATATGAGGAACAAATAAAAAAAAATATTATGCATGATGTTGAAGGTACTGAGAGAAGGAGTTTAGTAGAATATCTTGTTAGAGTTTCTGAAACTGTGATTATGACGTGAAAAGGTAAATGTGAGACAACAGGAACGTTCAAGTGGTGATTTAAGCTTCAGTGTGGCCTAAACTATTGCGACAATGATAGAGCTGTTATAATACAAACTGAGCAATTATAGTTCAAACGAAATTATTATAGTATGGATTGCGATAAGAATAAGATTATAGATTAGATTAAGCTAATATAGTAGTCTGAGCTACTATAGTACAAATTCAGCTATTGCAATAGTCTAAGCTTCCTAGTAACGAAATTTAATGTGTTTTATACATGTTATACACTTCATATTTAGTAATTGGAAGTAAACCATATGATATGCAGGAGATAAGAGAACAATGTTAACAATGAAAACATTATTTCTTCCTGAAGATTCATATACACATAATTCATAACATATTAGATATAACGTAGAATATTTCTAGTTATGATGTGAGGATCACGTCTCTCCAATAAAAGCTGAATTAGTGATGTTTGCAAACAAATAAATAGTAAAATTAAGTCACAGGATAATGAAAACATATTTATGTTAGATTACCTGAACCTGAAATATTAGGGTGTGCATTTATACTTCATCCAGGCTAGAATTGCTTGCAACATCACCATCCCGCAATGGTAGATGGCTTTAACAATGCAAGCTAGGGCTTGGCAAGACGTAAGTAGAGCGTACAAGATCAGGGTGCGAGTTATCTGGTGAGGTGCGAGTTATCTGGTGAGGTGCGAGTTATCTGGTGAGGCTCCAGCTTTGGGGAATTCCTCATCGACCGGCTACACTTTTTTCCGAATCAGGGTGGTCATGGACGTCCTTCGGTGCTGAGGATGCACTATAATGGTGTTCCCGCCGGACTTTATACACAACACAGTTTATAGTGCAGGGGTTTAGTTGTGGGAGCCTTTGAACCTCGTACTGAGGGCACCTCACATGTTCAGGTTAGCAGTGTGCAGAGAGGGGTTTATGTAAACACATATGTAATCTATAAATACGTACTAATACACAGGGAGCATTCATTACGGTAAGATTGGAGTTTATCGAAGCTAATCAGATTCAGATTCAGATGTTTATTCAGGTAAGGTATATACATACAAGTGATGTTACATTAATGGATTGATATATAGATAGAGCTAGTACATACAATGCCTAAAGCCACTATTACGCAATGCGTTTCGGGCAAATAATATTATGTCAGAGACACTTGGAAGCCTCACTGATCGATGACCATATTATAATTGCCGAAAATACTGTCTTAACATTTCTACCAACCAGTCAAGACGGCTTACCTGTCACTACCGGTCACTAAGGTCTTATGCGAGTTCCTTCTTGATACTCAGGAACGGTAATGACATGCACAGTCATCAAGGGTAGTGACCTGTCAACTGACAGTCATCATGGGTAGTGACCTGTCAACTGACAGTCATCAAGGGTAGTGACCTGTCAACTGACAGTCATCATGGGTAGTGAAGTGTAAACTATCAGTCAACAAGGGTACTGACCTGTCAACTGACAGTCATCAAGGGTAGTGACCTGTCAACAGACAGTCATCAAGGGTACTGACCTGTCAACTAACAGTCATCAAGGGTAGTGACCTGTCAACAGACAGTCATCAAGGGAAGTGACCTGTCAACAGACAGTCATCAAGGGAAGTGACCTGTCAACTGACAGTCATCAAGGGCAGGGACCTGTCAACAGACAGTCATCAAGGGCAGGGACCTGTCAACAGACAGTCATCAAGGGAAGTGACCTGTCAACTGACAGTCATCAAGGGCAGGGACCTGTCAACAGACAGTCATCAAGGGTAGTGACCTGTCAACAGACAGTCATCAAGGGAAGTGACCTGTCAACTGACAGTCATCAAGGGCAGGGACCTGTCAACAGACAGTCATCAAGGGAAGTGACCTGTCAACTGACAGTCATCAAGGGCAGGGACCTGTCAACAGACAGTCATCAAGGGTAGTGACCTGTCAACAGACAGTCATCAAGGGATGTGACCTGTCAACAGACAGTCATCAAGGGCAGGGACCTGTCAACTGACAGTCATCAAGGGAAGTGACCTGTCAACTGACAGTCATCAAGGGCAGGGACCTGTCAACAGACAGTCATCAAGGGTAGTGACCTGTCAACAGACAGTCATCAAGGGTAGTGACCTGTCAACAGACAGTCATCAAGGGAAGTGACCTGTCAACAGACAGTCATCAAGGGAAGTGACCTGTCAACTGACAGTCATCAAGGGCAGGGACCTGTTGTCACGGGGGTGGGCTGGGGCTCTGCTAGCAATCGATATTAAGCCAAAGACTTACAGGGAAATTTTTAAGGAAAGCAAATTGAATTCTTATATAACTTACTATTACCTATAGGAGAAATAACCTAATTCAAACCATGTTTTCTGAGAGGAAAAACGTTTTTTTTTTTTTTGCCCCATGATACTGGAAATTAACATCATAGTTTTACACAAGCCTCATATGAGAGCAAAGTCAATTTTCAGAAGTACCTACAACACATTGCCAATTTTATATAAATTCTAAACTTATAACCAAGCATATCCCAGTGACCACTTGGTCAACCAGGCTATTGCTTGCTCTAGCATCACTGGGCTGATCTGGCATGCTCATTGTAAGACTTGGCATATCCCCACCAGTTGGACATACTCCGTCGGGGACGATAAAATTGGTACTATGAGTGTGGCGGATGAGTACAAGTACTTAGGAATACTTATCGGGGCCGGAGGCAGACGCATATCCTATGGTTCCCTGTTTGAGGACGGTCTGACTAACATCACTAACGCCCCCCTCAAACCCCAACAGAGGTTATACCTACTTAAACAAGACCTAATCCTCAAGCTTGTTCTCGGACGCGTGTTTATGGCGGATTTAGCGAGGCTTGACAGGCAGTTGCGGCACGCCATTCATGGCTGGTTGTGACTGCCTCACGATACCCCTAATGCCTTCTTTCATACCGACGTAAAGGACGGTGGACTAGGAATTCCCGACTTTACTACATCATTCCGCCTACAAAAGAACAAGCGGCTCGGGACGTTGGTAGAGTCGGAGGATCCGGTGATAGTGGCTATGGCTCTTCTACCCGCATTCCAAGCACGAATGCGTCGATGGGTAGACCTGACCACGGCCGCCGGAACCCCCTTTAACAGAACGGCTGAGCGCTCTAGAAGTTGGAAAGCAAAACTGTATAGGATGGTTGATGGTGCCGGCCTTGCATCTACTTGTGAGGTTCCTTCCTGCCATAAGTGGGTCTCATCCGGTACCCGTCAGCTAAGCGGATGAGATTTTGCTTATGCCTTCCAGATTAGGGTAAACGCTGTAGCCACTCCGTCTAGAACAGCTAGGGGTAGACCCGAGGCTTCTGGTCTCTGCAAGGCTTGCCCGAGACCAGGAACCCTGGGCCACATATCCCAGGCATGCTATAAGACGCACGGAGCTCGGGTGAAACGTCATGCCAATATCACTCGGTTCATAGCTGGTCGCCTGCGGCAGAGAGGTTTCGAGGTGGAACGTGAGGTTCATATACCGGATGGAAGGGCCTTCTGCAAGCCCAGCATCATCGCTTGCAAAGGTGACGAAGCCTTCATATTGGACACCCAGGTCTCTGCTGATAACGTCCCTCTCTCGCGTCCACATCAGAGCAAGTGCGACAAATACGGCACCCAGAGATCCTTCAAAAGGTCAGGGAATATACCGGGAAGCACACAGCACCCGCCTCATCGATAATCCTTAATTGGAGAGGAGCATGATACAAGGAGAGTGCACACGGACTTCAGGATATGGAACACACCAAGAGCGACTTTGAGACTTGCTCTATGAAAGCCCTAACCTGGACATATTCCATCTACAGAATATGGTCCAAATCCACATCAAGGGGGCATACATGACAACCCTCCCGCTCCGGGCCTTGATA